TTAAAAACTTATTTGATCTCTTTTTTAAAAAGTTTTTAAATGCTAAAGTAGCATGAGTTTTCCTCATGAGATTTCAGCTGCCAGTTTAATTCTGAAGCTTGATGTAGGGGGAGAAGTGGGCAGGCAAGAAAAATAAGAACCAAGTTGGGGGCTGGAAGGAATGATGAAAGCAGGAAAGGGGAAAAGCTGATCCAGAGTTTGAATGGCTGGAATTTGAATTCCAAGTGCCTACTGCTAATTAATTCTTTATTCAGCAACAAATGGTTATGTAGCTTGATGCCAGCAGTGCAGTCTCTGAGCACTCTCCCAAGGTCAGGAACCCTTTCTCTCTCATTTTTTTAAATTAAGAATTATGTGCAATCTTTGCATAGATGTTCCTAAGAGGCATCATAGTGTACCAACTAGAGCATCAGACTAAAATCTGAGAGACCTAGTGTGACAGACAGGGTAGGTTCCACCTCTCACTAAGAGCGACCAGTGAGAGCTGATGGAATATTGGAGAGAGCCAGTTGGAAAACATCAGTTAAGAGAGTGGTTGGGAATTGGCAGCTGGGAGTTAGAGAGGGTAAACAGTATATGTGATTTAGTGAAGCTGAGGGAAAGATCAGCTGACTAAAAGCTAGCTGACTAAAAGAGTCATTTTGACACACAAAACCCAAGATACTGGAATAGGGAAACAGTTCAAGAGCTCCAGGGAAAAGAAACACTGTTACTCTACCTTACTTTCTTCAGCATTCCGTTCAAACTATAAATTAAAAAATAACTCCTTATTTGTTTAACCCTCTGGGCTTTGTGTGTCAGGGAGAGAAACACACACACACACACACATTAATATCTTGGTTTAGATTAGGGTTGCCAAGTGTGATTTTTGCCACAGCGGGGGACTCCCGGCTGGTGGCTGGAGTGCGTGTACGCGCGCAAAGCACGCACGCACTGCATCCACATCACCCGGAACTATAGAGTTTTCCCTCGGATGACCGTGGCTCTGCCCCCAGCGTGCCTCGCATGGTCGTGTCACTTCCGGGTGACGTGTACGTTGGGGTGGGGTTCCCCCCGGGGTTCGATCTGCTGGCGGTGGGGAACGGGCCTCTGGGGCGGGGTTTTTTTCGCCCCCCGGGGGGACTTGGCAAGACTAGTTTAGACAGATGATAGATAGATGAGAGAGGTAGGGGGATACGATTAAATGATGGCAGCATATGAATGGAACAGTGTTTGAGCCCCCAACCCCAATAACTCTGTGATGTGTTTGAGTGAGGGGCTGTTATTAAAGGGAGAGTGACTACCCTATCTGCAGATGTCTCTATGAGTAAGAGAGAGGACCTGAGAGATTAAATGGTTATGGTTCTCTGGAGATTTTTATAGAGACCTGAAGGGTAGTGGCAACAGCCTGACCTACTTGTAACCCTGAGCCTGACATAGAGAGGTGGTGGGGGCACTCTGTGTGAGTGGAGAAGGGGCCTCACATGTTCAGATCCTCACTCTGCCATGAAAGCTCACTGGGTGACCTTGGAGGAGGAGAAAACAATGTAAGCTACCTTAGGTCCCCCTATACCTTAGGAAAGCAAGGTATACATCTAAATAATATCTTCCACTAGTTGCACACTTGCTCCTTTTGGGGGAAAGTCGTGTCATGTAGATCCTTTGTCCAAACCGTCTGTGATCTGGCTTTAACATATCAGAAAATTAAAGAAAATTCTAATTATACTATTGAGAACTTTTGATATTTAAAAAAATCCTTAGAAAGAAATATAGGCCCCATTCACATGGAGAAGTTGCCATGCTAAAGACACGAATGTCAGGCGGATTTTAAGTGCGCGATCACACCGCAACATCTGGGAAGCGTAGCGCACCCGTGGCCAACCCGTGGTGTCCCGCTGAATACGCGCAGTAAAAAAGTACCTCGGAAAGTGCATTAGTATCCTGAAAACATGGGGCAGGGGCGGGCGTCTGATCACGGGAGCGCTAGTATCCTGTGGCATCCGATGTCCATCAATATCCCATCCCATCTGCAGAACTGTGCATGCGCACAAACTGTATACCTTTGCCATGGTCCAGTATTGCCATGTGATCGCCAGCTAACAGCCTACGCACAAAGACTTGGGGGACTGTGTGATCGGGCTACCACGCTTTATTTTGCTCCGGGGGAAACAGCCACACACCCCCACGTTATCTGGCCAATGTGACCAGGGCCATAAATGTTTTTGTATGAACAGAAAGACTTGATACCTGCCTGTACAGGATTTAGCCCCTCAAGCCAGTCCACGGGTGAGAGGTAATCCTGTACTTTTACAGTGCATTAAACAACAACCCAAGAGGTAGGCTAAACCTTCTCTGGTTTCAGAACAATATGCCACCAGAACCTCTACATTAGTTCCCCCCAACTTGAGATTAGAGGTTCAAACTCTCAGTTGGTATCTGGAACTTAACACATTAGCAACTCACTCAGAGATGCACACTTTTACTCTTACAAAGGCAGCTTAAATGGTGAGCAGAAGGCTACAAGATTTAGACTTGGAACTCAGGTACAACATCAGAGACCACTTAACAATCAGGAGGATCTTTATTCAGTACAGAGCGTAGCATAGACTACCAGAGTTTACAAAATAACAAACCTAAGGCGATTTGCCTTAACTGCACAGTAAAAGATACATATTTACCAAGTTCAGGAGCATCCAAACAGTCCAAGATTGTCCATTGTGATCATCCAAGTAGCACCAAGAGATTTTGAAGGGAAATCCCATCTTTGCACTCCATGTGCTTTAAGTCACAAAGCAGTCCTTTGTCTCTTCAAAGGACAGCATTTCCAGGTGCAATAAACAAGCAGCCAGAACAAGAGCAAGAAGCAAGAGACTCTCTCTCATTGGGATTGAACAATTATAGCCCAATTCCATTCATGATCAACTGTGGCCATGCAGCCAATCACGAGTGGACATAGGTGTGTCCAATTGTTGGTTGCTATAGCTGCAACACAGGAATGGCTAGAAGTTTGGAGACTCCTCCTGCAGTCAGGTGACCCAGCTTCTAGCTACTTCATTTAGTATGTGACTTGTCGCATGTGGGGCCAGAAAGTGTAGCCAAGAGGTGTGACGTTTGGCATGGAAGTGTGAAAGAATATGGGTTTATGGCATGGCTATTGAGGCCATTTGGCTTCAACAGGAAACAAGACACAGCATGTTATCAGAAAGACATCACAGGAGAAGGCATGGATTATAGAAAGCAGAAAGCAAAATTTCTATACACTGCCAGTTTGTTGAGTTTACTGATATAAAGCAGGGAAAGCGTCTGCTTTTGCGGAGCAGGGAAGAGGGATAGTTGCAACATTTTCAGACCAAAGCCAGGATTGAAATATAAATATTTTATTATGACTAAGGCACAAATAGGGACATTTACAAACATAATTGAGAGTTTTTAACAATAGTAAGAAAGTACTAAAATGTTTACACTTTAATTCTTTTTATATAATACAAAACATTAAGTTACAAAAGACTGCCAGTAAAAACATCCGATCTTTTTTTTAAAAAAAAACAACAACCCAGCCTGGTGCTAATGTAACCAACAAAAATTAAGGTCCCCGAGAAATTCCAACTCAGAATCAGAGCTTAGATCTCTGACCCCTCCTTGAGCAGGTTCAGGGAGTGTGCTGGAAGCAATCCAATCTACTGAAAACAAGTTTAAATTTTCTCTTGACATTTTCTTGTGAATGGTACCCAGAGACACAGAACAGATTTCCTGAGAAAGTTGGGCATCATCCTTCTGACATATACAAAAAATTAGTGCAAAGTTGAGAGTGGTAGTACCAGGTGCTCCAAAATGTAATGTAAATGTTTTAAAGTCTACAACTGTAATGTAATGCCCATGTTCGATGTGATTTTACAACTCTGAAGGCATAAAATGGCATCAAAATAAGGCATTTTCCTAAATAAGGATTTCTCGATAAATGTCACATCACTGCCTTCTAATCATGAAACAGTCAAAATCTCAAACTAACTTCTCCTCTAGTTTCCATTCGCCGATATGCAATTGTTTAGATAAACAGCTACAACAAAGTGCATAATTCTCAAGAACACAAAGACAATGTCACATTTACATATCTATCCGAGAGAGGTCGGTAGCTCATACAAACCATAAACTTTTATGTAACTATGAGCAACTGTATACCTCTACAATTAAACAAGCCTGCAAGGTAAAACATTTATTTTAAAAATAAACTGATATATGTACTAAATGTAAATTAAATGAATACAAAATTTATTCTCTGTTTGACTTAATTTTACATAAATTTTACATTCCCTTTTAAAAGAGCCTTGTGGCTCCTTAAAGAATAACAAATTTACTGTTACATAAAGCCTTTATAATCCAGAAACTGCTTCTTCACATGTTCTCATTCATGAAAGTTTATGCTACCACAATATTGCCAATAGCTCCAACAGGCTAACTTGACTATTGTTTCAGAATATAGTCTCAACTTTGTTTGAAAAGTGTTCCAGTAGTAGGATTTGAACTTCTGAATCTGTATAAGCTAAGGCTGCAGTTCCATCATTTTCTTTAAAATATTTTTTGTATTTGAGCAATTTCTCTAATTTTTGATGAAATGATCTAGAATGTTGATGAAATGATCTAAAAAAACAGCCAACATACAAATTCCAGAAAGGCACTTTAAAAAAGATAGGAAGATGGTCACAGGTTGACTAGTAGAACTGAGATTGTTTGTGGTAAATGTCTTGATTCTTCCAAAGGAATAATAAAGGAAAATAATAAAATGCTTTTTAAAGATTATTTGATACATTGCCCCTATTGTGTTCCTCAAAGGCCATGTAGACTTCTAGCAGGAAAAAAGGATAAATAAATACTTCCATAATGTTCCATATGAATGGTCTACCAGAACAATAAACCTCTAGGTAGGTACCTAAAGTTTGATGTGCTGTTCAGAAATTCCACAATAGTTCTCAGTCACAGGTCAGGTTATGGAGTGTAGCACAAGCTTTTTGAAGATTCTGCTCTCATTTCCTGTCTGCAAATTTCACATTGATGGAATCTGCCGGAGTCAATAGTCCATGGGTTTTGGCACGAACAGATTTAGTTTTGGGAGACATTTTTATTTCAAAATGTTGAAGTAGCTGGGAGGGGAAATGCAACCTCATTAGAATAAGTACATATATATAAATGGATAAGCCACAATAATATTCTCATTTCCTAGAATCTTTCCTAGTATCCTCTTTCTTGTAAAATCCAGTGACCACATTAGAACATAAGAACCTAAAAAGAACCCTGTTGGATCAGACCAAAGGTGCATCTAATCTAGCATCTTCTTTCCAATAATGGCAAAACAGATGTTTCCAGGAAACTCAAAAATAGGACATGAAAGCAACATCCCACATGTTTTAATCCCCAGCAACTGGTATTCAGAGGAATGCTGTCTCTGAATGTGAAGATTCAATTAGCTATGACAACTAATTGCCAGTGTTCCCTCTAAGCTGAGTTAGTGTGAGCTAGCTCACACTAACTCAGCTTAGAGGGAACATTGCTAATTGCCTGTTTGCAACATGATAGTAAGCAGCTTTCACTAAATAAAGTCATTAGGCCTCTACAACTGCATTCATCTCACTTGTTTTCATAACTTGATGTTGTTCAAGAAATATTTGGATTATTTCACTGTTGCTTGTCTGTTTTAACAGAGTTTGGTGTATAAGGATTTATGTCTATCTCCAGCTCATTACTAACTGGAAAGTGGCTGACAGGGTCTCCCAATACCTCCACAGTGCGGCTCTAACAAGGAGAAGTGCTGTGGTCATACATGCCAGCTGAAGTGGAGGGGAAGCGAGGCTATTCTCTCGGGAGTAATTTGACCCGCAGTTGCAAGATCACATCTCTCTTCATATCTGTGATAAGATGCAACTGCGGGTGAGTAGTTGTTGGGGGGGTTTGCCATTTGTTTTCCCATGCACATAAACGAGGAATTGCACCTCTGCACCAAGGGCCCCCTATGAGTATGCGATGATGCACATACTGCGAAGGGGGGGGGAATGATCAGACCATTCTGATAGCATGCATGTGTGCTTGCCTGATCAGACAGGGGAAAGTCCGTCCGTGGTCTGTCACAACCTGTTTACTACCGCATTTTCTCCGGTGTCTTTTTACTCCGCTTCTGCAGCGGGGCAGCACGGGTTGCTGACAAGTGTGGGACGCTTCCCAGATGTTGCTGTCTGATCACGCCCTTTAGATCTGTCAGGCATTCGCGCCTATGTCAGATCTACTGGCGTGTGTGATCACAAGTTCATAATTCCCCATGTCATTGCTGGCATGTGATAAAGCATTTAGGCTATATGAAGGGAGGTGAGATAGAGAACAAGGGAAGAATAGCAGCAAAGAGCAATAAGGAACCTTATGAATTCAGCAAAGTGAAGACTATGTGGAAAGTTGCTAAGCAAAATTATTGGAGCATGTGGTAACCATACTTTGTGAGTGGTAACTAACCTCATGCAGGGCTTAAACCATGGACCCCAGGCACACTATACTTTTCCCACAGTGCTAGGCCTATCTCTATAGTCTTTTGGTATATAGGAATACTAGAAAAATCAGGTCCAATGGAAGATTCCAAATGCTTTTTCCTGTGTGCACTATTGGATGGGTTAGAAGAATGCTCTGCAGTGTGTAAGTTGTAGTTCTGCCTATTTGTTTTAGAACAAATCATCAGTCAGTCAGTCCTTGAGCATTTACAAAGGATGGCTGTGATCATGAAGAGCCAACATGGGTTTCTCGTTAACAAGTCATGTCACACTAATCTTATCTCTTTTTCTGAGAGATAAAGATTAGATAAGACTGCTGAATCAGGGGAATGCTGTAGACATAGTTTATCTTGATTTCAGTAAGACTTTTGATAAGGTTCCTCTTAATATTCTTGTTGACAAGTTGGTAAAATATTGTTTGGATCCTATTACTGTTAGATGGATCTGTAACTGGTTGACAGATCGCACCCAAAGAGTGCTTGTTAATGGTTCCTCATCCTCTTGGAGAGGAGTGACAAATGGATCCGTCCTGGGACCTGTTTTGTTCAACATCTTTATCAATGATTGGGATGAAGGAATAGAGGGAATACTTATTAGATTTGCAGATTACACTAAATTGGGAGGGGTAGCAAATATGGTAGAAGGCAGAGTCAGGATACAGATGATCTTGACAGGCTGGAAAACCGGGCTAAAACAAATAAAATGAATGTCAATGGGGATAAATATAAAATTCTGCATTTAGGTAGGAAAAATCAAATGCCTATTTATAGGATGGGGGAGACTTGTCTTGGCAGTAGCATGTGTGAAAAGAATCTAGTGGCCCTAGTGGACCATACACCGAACATGTCAGCAGTGTAATGCGGTATCTAAAAAGGCAAATGCTATTTGGGGCTGTATCAACAGAAGTATAGTGACCAGTTCACGCAAAGTGATGGTACCAGTTTACTGTTCTCTGGTTAGACCTAACCTGGAGTATTGTGTTCAGTTTGGGGCATCCCGATTTAAGGAGGATATAGACAATCTGTAACATGTCCAGAGGAGGGCAACAAAGATGGTGAGGGGTCTAGAGACCAAGTCCTATGAGAAAAAGCTGAAGGAGTTTGGGTATGTTTAGCCTGGAGAGGAGACGACTGAGAGATGATATGATAACCATCTTCAAGTACTTGAAGGGCCATCATTATAGAGGGTGGTGCGGAGATGTTTTCTGTTGCCCCAAAGGTTGGACCAGAACCAATGGGTTGAAATTACATCAGAAGAGTTTTTTGCTAAACATTAGGAAGAACCTCCTGACAGTTAAAGTCGTTCCTCAGTGGAACAGGAGGTTCTTCCTAATGCTGATTGTGTGAACTTAGGCAGATCATGAGAAGGAGGTCAGGAAGGGAAGAAGGTCAGGAAGGGTTGCATCAGTGCTTAGTTCTCGTGGCCCTTTCTTACACGCCCAGAGAAATACTCATTGCCACTTCGGGGTCAGGCAACAATTTTTCTCCAGGCCAGTTTGGCCAGGGATCCTGGAGGTTTTTGCCATCTTCTCTGCATGGAGCAGGGGTCATTGGGGTGTGTGGGGGGGGAGGTATTTGTGAATTTCCCGCATTGTGCAGGGGGTTGTACTAGATCACCCTGGAGGTCCCTTCCAACTCTATGATTCTATTCCTTTGGTTTTACTTGCTGTTGTCCCAAAAGTGACTTTTGCTTTATTCCAAATTTCCCCTTTGTGGAAACTGAACCCTTCATTTTTATTTCCCATTGTAAGTCCTTTTCCTCAGTGGGAGATGACAAGAAGGGATTGGGGAGATGAGGATGGCTTCACGGAATGTTCTGCGTGTTCTTTTGTTGCTCTCTCAGACCGATTTCACACAAGAGCTGCGCCACTCGAGTGGGACATTGACCAATAGAAGCGGGGCAAAGGGAGGCGCGACCGTGGCGCAGCTCTTGTGTGAAATCGGTCCCAGTGTCTTTCTCCCCCTTGCCTCATAAGAATTTGTTCCTCGGGGCATTATAACCTGGTCCCTGGGACCCAACCACTATGTGAATGATGGGGTTTCTGTGGCTTTTCCTCTAAGACGTGAGCTATGGAAGTGCTGGGTGGTATGACTGTAGCAGTCACGACTCCTTCCCTTTATGCCCACCTGTCAAGAGGAAATGTGTTTACGGGTGGGGAGCTGAACTCCTGCCCCCCCCTTTCCAGATTTCCTAGGAGAAACGTAATCACCAGGCTACTACCTTGGGCACCACACAGAAAGTTGTTGTGCGGCCTTTCTCCTTTTCCTTGTTATGCTTTGTATGCAGATGGGGGGAAGTGCTGTCAGATAGGTGTGCTGATGGAAGTGTGCCTTATTTGGCTATTATACATGGCTGGCCTGGAGACATCGTCAGCATGCTACTCCGTGACTGGTGGGTGCAGGTAACATTTCCGGGGATTCTCCAGCTGCAGTTGCTATGCTCGCAGCATCTTGGAGTACGATCTTTTTTTGACCCACCCCCCCCCGTTAAGAGAGTATAGGATACTAACTAATTACAGTGGCACTCCACCGGTGTCAGAGATGGTTCAGATATACTGTCTGTCATTAATGCTGCTATATTTACAGGCCCTGATTCTGCAGAAACAATATAAATCCCAAGCTTTTCAAAAATGGGACTAGTCTAACCAGGAAACAGTCTTTGGTCCTTTCCGCACTAGACCTTAAATCCTGGTTCATCCCAGTCCCCGAACTTACATTCTACACTACACGCAAGTTCACCCCTATAGTTATATCGGGGTATTTTTGTTTCCACATTACACTGAGGTCACCCCAGTCTCGCCCCACTCTTGTCCCAGGATAGACGGATGCTGTTATAACCGGGGATAAATGCAAGGTATTGTGTCACGAGTTGAACTCTGATAAAAGCGGGTATGAGATCCAAGTACGGAAAGAACCAAAGAAGTTGGGGATCTCATGTTACCATGCAGGAGTTTTTCCAGATCTGGCCTCTCTCCTAGGTCATTTCTGCACTTTGATCTCATCCCTGGTTTTATCAGAGTTCAACTTGGGACACAATATCTTGCATTTATCCCAGGTTATAACAGCCTCTGTTTATCCCAGGACAAGTGTGGGGCAAAACTGGGGTGACCTCAGTGTAATGTGGAAAGAAAAAATACCCCGAGATAATTACAGGGGTGAACTCGCGTGTAGTGTAGAACGTACTTTTGGGGACAGGGTTGAACCAGGATTTAAGGTCTAGTGCGGAAAAGACCTTTTTTGAATCAAGGACGTAATTTGTACTTACAAAACAGAAGTTTACTAATAGCAAGAAGGTGAGTTCTAATAGTTATAACCCGTTTACCTGTATTAGTGCCAGGTGAATTTCCAGTTCAGCAATTCTCTTTCCTATGCAGCTCCGAATACCATAACCAAAGGGGATAGAACCAAAATTATCTACCCTGTCCATGTTGCTTTTCCTTAGCCATCGTTCAGGCTGGAACTCGTGTGCTAATGGAAAATTCTCTTCCTGGTATGATGTTGCATAATGACAGAGTGCTAGCTGGGTCTGATGAAACAAATATGTTATGGAACAATCTACCAAACCCAAACATGCACGTTAATTAACTACTTATAATTTTCAGAATATCAAAATATCTGACAAATATATTATCATACTATTTACATATAATTATTTTGCAGAATATCCACAAAAGTTACTGATGGAGATTAAAAGGCATTGGACAAATCAAGAAAAAATATAATAATTAAAAGGGGTACACTTTCAAGTTAAACAGATCCTGCACTAAATCAAGAAACACTGTACTGAAGTTTGATTACAGAATAAAAAAGAAAGAATATATTATTTCAAATGACTGGGATCAAGCCAGACTGATATTTCCCAGAATAACTATTTTTTCCCAGTCCAGGCTAATTCATATACCAAAAGAAAATCTGCAGCTTCATCTTTTCCTACTCTTTTCATGCAGCCATTTCATGCAGCTTACCCCTTTAGGTATCAAGTATCCTCCAACAATCAAATCTTTCTGGGTTACTCTGCCATTTCCTGGTAACACTGGAAATAACCTACAAAAATAGTCAATGAGATATTCAGTGCCTCTAATGTTACATTTCTGTAGATTTCCTTCAAGGCATTAGTGAGCATGATAAAGGGGTGACCTTTCAAAGAGTCTTAAAATCTTTAGCCAAAGTCCCCTTAAGGAAACTTGTCAGTCATTTATGAGAAGACAGCAGCTAATACTGGCTAAAGTAGTGTAAACAAAGGATGGAAGTCACCAGGGTCTTCCACCCCACTCACAATCTGTGTCCAGACACTGCCATTTAACTTCTTCATAAATCATCATGTAAAAAATAAACAATGAGGTCCGGATCGGTATAGCCCGGGCAAGCCTGACCTCATCAGGTCTCGGAAGCTAAGGAGGGCTGACACTGGGAAGTATTTGGATAGGAAACCTCCAAAGAATACCAGGGCCAGGAGGCAGAGGCAGGCCATCAAACCACTTATTTTAATGTCCTCCACGCCCCAGTAGGAGTCGCCAGAGGTCACCATGACTGCTAGGCATGGGCACACAAAAATGGAGACCAGCTGAGCTCTGAGCAGGAGCAGGAGAGAGAGCTGTGAGAGAGGTGAGTGGGTTTCTTTTACTTGCTTTCAGCTGAGAGCCAGAAAGACAAGGCCCTAGGCTCTTTGTCTTTCCCGTAAAATAATTTGACTTCGATAACAAAAACCACGTAAATACCAAGGGTTTAAAAGGGGGATTATATTTATTTATTTTAAAAGAATTATGAAGCCAGAATGCCAGCAGGGGGTTGGGGGCTATCCAGTGTTTTGCACGGAGTGTCACATGTATGACTATCTGCCCACTGGGCAGAAATCTTGGGTGTGTCCACGGTGCAAGGAGCTCCTGGTTCTCAGGGAACGTGTGTGCTCCCTTGAGGCCAAGGTGGCTGACCTGGAGAAGCAGAGACAGTCAGCTAGGCACACAGAAAAGACTCTCGGGGACTTGTTAGCTACGTCCCACTCTGGATCTGGCAGCCCCGCTGCTGTCAGGGAGCATGAGGGTCTAGGGGAAACAGGGCACCATGCTGAGGATAAGGGGAATGTGCCCTCAGAAGGGACCTCTTCCCCAGCTGGTGAGCGGCTCTCCTTTTGCACCAAGGAACCATCCCTGAGCAGGGTGGGAGGGGGGCTCTTGGTAGTGGGTGATTCGATCCTTAGGCAGGTAGACAGCTGGGTGGCGAACCCGCGTACTGACCGTATGGTGACTTGCCTGCCTGGTGCGAAGGTAGCGGACATTACGCGTGTTTTAGATAGGCTGGTAGATAGTGCTGGGGAGGAGCCAGTGGTCGTGGTGCATGTCGGCACCAACGATGTGGGGAAATGCAGTCGTGAGGTCCTGGAGGAGAAATTTAGGCTGCTGGGCAGGAAACTTAGGTCCAGGACCTCCAAGGTAGCCTTCTCAGAAGTGTTACCTGTTCCACGCGCAGGGCCGGAGAGACAGGCAGAGATCAGGAGTCTCAATGCGTGGATGAGACGATGGTGTAGGGGGGAAGGGTTCAGGTTTGTTAGGCACTGGGATACTTTTTGGAACAAGAGGGAGCTGTACAGGCGAGACGGTCTCCACTTGTCCCGAGAAGGAACCAGGCTGCTGGCACTTAAAATCAAAAAGGTGGCAGAGCAGCTTTTAAACTGAATATTGGGGGAAAGCCGACAGGAGATGAAAAGTCTCTGGTTCGGGTTGGCTCATCTGAGAGAGGTGAGGGGGTACCGGTTGCTTTTCTACAGGGAGGTGGATTGAAATTGTCCACAGAGGCCATGGCTGGTGACATGGACTGCCGGACAACGACTCGAGATAGCAAGAGGAAGGATGCAGGCTTAACTTGTAAGGGAAATTACAGCTGTTTCTATACAAATGCTAGAAGTGTCCGAGGTAAAATCGGGGAGTTGGAGTGCTTGGTGTCGGAGGGAAAAATAGACATTGTGGGTATTTCTGAAACTTGGTGGGATGAGGAAAATCAGTGGGACACAGTGATTCCCGGTTATATATTATATCGGAAGGATAGGGGGGGAAGGGTTGGAGGTGGGGTAGCTCTGTATGTCAGAGAGGGTATAAAGTCTAGAAAGATTGAGAGGCTAAGTGAATTGGATTCGCTTCTGGAAGTTCTATGGGTTGAAATAGGGGGGCCAAAAGGAAACTTAACACTGGGAGTTTGTTATCGCCCACCAGATCAAAAGATAGAGGAGGATTATAAAATGATGAATGCCTTAAAGATAGCAACTAGACAAAAACACTGTGTAATAATAGGTGATTTTAACTACCCACACATTGATTGGGTCAATATGTGTTCTAGCCGGGAAAAAGAGATTGAGTTTCTAGACACTCTAAATGACTGTGCTATGGAGCAGATGGTCACGGAACCTACCAGGGGAGAGGCGATCCTTGATTTGGTCCTAAGTAACACTCAAGACCTGGTGAGAGATGTAAAAGTGATTGCACCGCTTGGAAACAGTGATCATAATGTTGTTGAGTTCATCATTTGTACAAATAGAGAATTGGCCAAAAAGACTCACACAACCATTTTTAACTTTAAAAGGGGTAATTTCTCTGATATGAGGGGACACGTGGGGAGGAAACTGAAAGGAAAAGTAGAAAGGGTCAAAACAATTGGGGAAGCTTGGGATCTATTTAAAACTACGATCCTAGAAGCTCAAAAAATATATATTCCGCAGGTTAGGAAAGGCACAAACAGGTATAGGAAAAAGCCTGCATGGTTAACAAACAGAGTAATGGAGGCTGTAAAAAGTAAAAAGAATTCCTTTAAGCAGTGGAAAGCTAGTCACAGTGAGGCTGATAAAACGGAACACAGGCTATGGCAAATAAAATGCAAGTCTGAGGTCAGGCAGGCAAAAAGGGAATATGAGGAGCATATAGCAAAAAACGTAAAAACCAACAATAAAACTTTCTTCAAATACATTAGAAACAGGAAACCAGCCAGGGAGGCAGTGGGGCCCTTGGACGACCAAGGGGTAAAAGGAGTATTGAAGGATGATAGGGAAATGGCTGAGAAGCTAAATGCATTTTTTGCCTCCGTCTTCACTGTGGAAGATGAGAAGTGCTTGCCCACTCCAGAACCACTGATTTCAGGAGGGGTGTTGAAAGACCTGAGTCAGATTGAGGTGACGAGAGAGGAGGTCCTAAAACTGATAGACAACTTAAAAACTGAAAAATCACCAGGCCCAGATGGCATACATCCGAGAGTTCTGAAAGAACTCAAATGTGAACTTGTAGATCTCCTGACAAAGATATGTAATCTTTCCTTAAAATCTGCCTCCATTCCTGAGGATTGGAAGGTAGCTAATGTCACTCCCATCTTTAAAAAGGGTTCCAGAGGAGATCCGGGAAATTACAGGCCAGTCAGTCTGACGTCGATACCGGGTAAATTGGTGGAAACCATTATTAAGGAAAGAATTAGTAGGCACATAGATGAACAAAACCTATTGAGGCAGACTCAGCACGGTTTCTGTAAGGGAAGATCTTGTCTCACTAACCTGTTAGTGTTCTTTGAGGGGGTGAACAAACATGTGGACAAGGGGGATCCAATAGATATTATTTACCTTGACTTCCAGAAAGCTTTTGATAAAGTTCCTCATCAAAGGCTCCTAAGTAAGCTCAAAAATCATGGGATAGAAGGACAAGTCCTTTTATGGATCAAAAACTGGCTAGTTCATAGAAAACAGAGAGTGAGTGTAGGTGGGCAATTTTCTCAGTGGAGGGTGGTAAGCAGTGGGGTACCGCAGGGATCAGTACTTGGTCCACTGCTTTTTAACTTGTTCATTAATGATTTGGAGATGGGAGTAAGCAGTGAAGTGGCTAAATTTGCGGATGATACAAAGTTGTTCAGGGTGGTGAAAACCAGTGAGGATTGTGAGGCACTCCAAGGGGATCTGTCAAGGATGGGCGAGTGGGCGTCAACATGGCAAATGGGGTTCAATGTGGCCAAGTGCAAGGTGATGCACATTGGAGCCAAAAATCCTAAATATAAATACACATTGATGGGGTCTGAACTGGCAGAGACTGAGCAAGAGAGAGATCTTGGAGTTGTAGTGGATAACTCACTGAAAATGTCGAGACAGTGTGTGACTGCAATAAAGAAGGCCAATGCTATGCTGGGGATTATTAGGAAGGGTATTGAAAACAGATCAGCCAATATAATAATGCCCCTATATAAATCAATGGTGAGACCTCATTTGGAATACTGTGTGCAGTTCTGGGCACCACACCTTAAAAAGGATATTATAGCTTTGGAAAAAGTGCAGAAAAGGGCAACTCGAATGATAAAAGGGTTGGAACACTTTCCCTATGAGGAAAGGTTAAAGCGCTTAGGGCTCTTTAGCTTGGAGAAAAGACGACTGAGGGGTGACATGATCGAGGTTTATAAGATTATGCATGGGAAAGAGCAGGTAAAGAAAGAGGTACTTTTCTCCCTTTCTCACAATACAAGAACTCGTGGGCACTCCATGAAACTGCAGAGCGGTCGGGTTAGAACGGATAAAAGGAAGTACTTCTTCACCCAAAGAGTGATTAACACATGGAATTCACTGCCACAGGAAGTGGTGGGTGCTACAAGAGGACGTCCTTCTTCACCCAAAGAGTGATTAACACATGGAATTCACTGCCACAGGAAGTGGTGGGTGCTACAAGCATGGATGGCTTCAAAAGGGAATTAGATAAGCATATGGAGCAGAGGTCCATCAGTGGCTATTAGCCACAAGGTATAGCTAGGGGCTCTGGGGCAAGTGATGCTCTGTCTTCTTGGTGCTTGGGGGGGGTCAACAGTGGGAGGGCTTCTAATGTCCTGGCCCCACTGCTGGCCCTCCTGATGGCACTGGTATTTCTGGCCACTGTGTGACACAGAGTGTTGGACTGGATGGGCCTTTGGCCTGATCCAACATTGGCGTCTCTTATGTTCTTATGTTCTTAAAAATACAACAGCAACAACAACAACAGTGAGGTAGCAGATAACATCCCCAAAAATTCTTAGCGTCATGTTTTTACTGATGGAAGAACCACAACTGGACATTGTTAATGTTTATAAAAATAAATGGACTTTGCAAAAGCAGCCATAGATAGATAGATAGATAGATAGATAGATAGATAGATAGATAGATATAAATATATATAGATATATGCTATTAAGTCACAGCCAATTTATGACAACCCCATAGGGTTTTCAAGGCAAGAAACTAATAGATATGGTTTGATATTAACTCTGCATTATGACCCTGGATGGTATCCCTTGATGGTCTCCCATCCATGTACTGAGCAGGGTTGGCTCTGCTTAGCTTCTGAGATCTGACAAGATCAAGCTAACTTGGGCTATCCAGGTCAGGGCTGTGCGAATAATACGTTGGGTGTGTGATGCTATATTTGGTACAATTCTCCCACAGGCGACAAGGTAATAAGGAAAAAGAGACAGAGACAGTGCCCCTTTCTGTTTACATGGCATTTTGTGGCCACATTGTTCATGAACACCTCCACAATTTACCTGTTGTACCTGGGGAGAAAGACATGGAGGGATCTGTAGACCACCAGAAGCTTCAGGTTGATGCTTGAAATGTGATGCTTGAAATGTGATGCTTGAAACTTAGGCTGCATCTACACAAAGATTTTTCATCTCCATGGCTTCCAAATGGCAGTGGGTGTTTTTGCTTTTTGCTTGTGTGTTTTTGAGCATCTGCATTACATCCTCTAATCATTCACTTTCCAGGCTTTCCCTGTCCTTGGTACGTGTTCTCAAATCTAGCTTGGTACAATCTTTCCAGAAAGAACCTAGTTCAAGCATATTAGCAAAACTATCTGGATTAGCGGTCACTGGCAACTACTGATTTTTTAAAAGCCCGAAAAAGGCCTCTAGTGGCACAGAGGGGAAAAGTGCAAGGAGAACAGTGGTTGATGGATGAAAGTGAGTACAAAATTCCTATGTGATGTTCCATATCCAGTGTGAATGCCTCCATTCACAGTGACAGGGCAATGGAGAATCTGCACCACATCGATGCAGCCATAGACACACACACACACAGTTTTTTCATCTTTCCTTTTTTTCTTAGTCTTCAAATTTCATACCTTTTCTATCCTCTTTTTTTTTAAATCAAAGATCATTTTCCTCTCTTTTTATTACCAAGGTTAAGTTATAGTGGTGTTTGCCACATTGTTTGCGTACCATTACATGTGTGTTTCAGGGAAAAGATTAACTTGCGGAGAGGATTTCTCTGAGAAGAGTGTTTCAGTCAATGCTGCGGTTGTGGTAGATGAAAAAGAACTGAGCAGAAGACTGTGACTTGTTTTCCATTGGGCAGGCACAGCCAAATTGCACCTCTGAGAAAGGGGATTTTTGCACCTAACACTGAGCTCTGGAAGTTTCCAAACTGAGGCTCTGTGGGTGCAAAGCCTATTAGTGTGGTGAACAAAGCCCACAAAAAATAATTTGAATCTGACTGGTATTGTGTTTCTCTCTCTCTCTCTCTCTCTCTCTCTCTCTCTCTCTCTCTCACTCTCACTCACTCACTCACTCACTCACTCACACGTAGGCAGAGTGGGTTAGCCTAATTTTTGGAAGCTAAGCAGGGTTGGTACCTGGAAGGGAGATCACCAAGGAAGACTCTGCATAGGGAGGCCACGGCAAACCCCCTCTGCTTCTCACTTGCCTTGAATGTCCCTTGCTGGGGTCACTGTGGCTGTGATCACACGCGCCAGATGATCCAACATAGGTGTGAATGCCCAAAGGCATTAACGGGTGCGATCAGACAGCAACATCTGGGAAGTGTCCTGCAGCTGTCGGCAACCCGTGCTGCTCCGCTGCAGAGGCGGAGTAAAAAGACACTGGAGAAAATCCGGTAGTAAACGGGTTGCAATGAGCCTGTCTGATCGCGCAAACACTCTTCTGAGTCATTGGGATGGTCTGATCAGGCCATCCCGGCTTGGTGCCGTTCCCCCCCCCTTTGCCGTATGCGCATCATCGCATACCCATAGGGGGCCCTCAGTGCGGAGGTGCAGTTCCTTGTTTATGTGCATGGGAAACAAACGGCAAAAAAACCCTGACTCTCCCGTAGTTGCATCTGATCACACAGTGACGGGTTGCGTCCGTAGCAACAAGGGCTGTGTGATCTCCCAACTGCGGGTCAAATTCCTCCGGAGGGAATAGCCTTCCTTCCCCTCCGCTTCAACTGGCACATGTGACCGCAACCTTAAAGTTGGCTGTCACCTCATGGCCCCTTACACACGCATATATATACATATGGATTTATTAATATATAAGAGAGAGGGACACAGAGGGACAGAGAAAGGGCTAACTTCAATCTACCCTATGCATATTTACTCAGAAATTACCTCAATAGGGCTTATGCTCAAAAATATGCTTGGAGCTTTAAATCTTATAACATAGCATGAAATTGTCAGCCAGTCCATATTATATTGTAAAAATCCCAATATAGAAGAGAAAGCTGTGCAAAAGAAGAAGAAAAAACTCTGATGGCTGCCTTTTAGCCTAAACATTGTACTGAGGAAGATGAAAAAGCATTTTATTGTCACGTTGGGGTTTCGTACCACTTACCTTAAGGTTTCTTTGAGAAGGGCTCTGATCATTGGCAGGTTAGGGATATCATTAGCATCAGGGACTTTATCTTTACCCAGTTTGCTGATTATCTCTTTATACACAGAATGCTGTACTTCTGGGTGCTTTGCTAATAGATATGTTGCCCAGGATAAAGTGAAGGAAGTCTAAGGTTGTATGGGGGGGGGGGGGGGGAGGAAAAGACAGCACTAGTGAAGTGAGAGTCCATAACAATATTTCTAAAGTAACATTTGTCATTTTCAACCAGTGTTTCATATACCACCTGAACAAAATAACGGAGATGAGCACCGCAACCCTAGAGTTGGATTCGACTGGCTTTCAAGCAAGGGAACCTTTACCTTTACCTTTACCTTTACTAGAACAAGATACATTAAACCTACAATCTTGAGCACATGTTCATTCACTTAATTCCACCTGATTTCCATCTGATTTCAAGCAAGCCTTAGAGCTTCAAGTATATGTTGCAGGGAAAGTGACTTCTATAAGGCCACCTACTGTTTGCCAAATTGCCTTAAATTCTAAATTAATATTGGGGAAGTTATGATTATCAATTGGCAATAGGCAAATTAGGGTTCACACCAGTTTATACAGAAGTCCCACCTTTACTGTAAGTACCAGAACAGACACAGAAACTATGACCGGCAGCATCCACGACACCCGCGCCCAGACCCCGCCGTTCAACAAGAACTAGGACAGCCCCAGCGTACCTCCAGGACTACATGTGTGGGTAGTTTGGACTATGGGGGGGAGGGGTGTAATGTACTCCGCCATGACCACGTGCACGACTGTTGGGCCATGCGGTCAGGCCAAACATCGGAGCTTCGCTCCTCTAAAGACAATAGCCAAGCGGATCCTAGCCCGCACCTATCAGAGGGCCAGGTCCACGGCCGAGAGCCTATGGGACTCTTGGCCACTGTAAATAGCCTATAGCGAAGTAGGGGGGGTGTTTTGGTGGTGGGGTTTAGGTGCAGAT